CTCCCCTCTTCCCTCCTCTCCTCCTCCTCCTCCTCCTCCTCCTCTCCTTCCTCCTCCTCCTCTTCCCGTCGTCCCCTCGTATCCTCCACCCTTCGCTCCTCCTCCTCTCCCTCCTCCCCCCTTCCTCCCCTCCTCCTCCTCCTTCCCCTCTCCCTCCTTCCTCCTCCTCCAACCCCCAATCCCCTCTCCTCTTCCTCCTCCTCCTCCACACCACCTCCCCCTTCCCTTCCTCTTTCATTCCCCCTCTCTCCTCCCCCTCCCCCTCTTCCCTTGTCGCTCTCTTCCCCTCCTCCTCCTCCTCCTCCTCCTCCTCCTCCTCCTCCTTCCCCCCTCCTCCCTCCTCTCTCCTTCCCTCTCCCTCCTCCACCATTCAGTCACACCCCCGTGGCATTAGGAACCGGGGTCGGATCCCCGCGTCGTTAAATCGTTAAATTTTCACTATCGTCCGTTCTAAGTGGTTTATCTGCCTCGGTTGTGCGATGTTTTTTCTCTGTTCTTCTTCTTCCTCCTCCTCTTCTTTTTTCTTCGTTTTTCTTTTTTTTTTATTCTTTTACATTTTTTTTTATTTTTTTATTTTTTTTTTACATTTTTCTGTTTCTTGTTTTTTTTTTCTCTTTAATGTCTCTCATTCTTGCTTTTTCTCTTTCATATGTGTCTTCCCTTTCTGGCTTTCTTTCTCTTCTGTTTTCTTTGTCTGTTCTTTCTCTGTTTCTTTCTATCTATTCCTACTGTCCTTTCTCCTCACATTTGCCTCGCTCTCCTCTCCCCCCTTCTCTTCTCGTATGCTTCTTCGTCTCTCTCTCTCCCCTCCCTCTCTCCCTCTCTATCTTCCCTCTCCCTCCTTCTCTCCCTCTCCCTCCCTCTCCCCCCTACCTTTCCCTCTTCCCCTCTCTCCTTCCCTCCCTCTCTCCCTCTTCCCTCTCCCTCTTCCTTCGCCTACATCCACCTCCCACCCCACCCCACCGACGCCCCTCACGGACATACACACGCACACCGCACGCACGGACGGCCATTCCGAGCGGCTTGCGAAAAAGATGAGATTGATAGTATGTCGTCAGTGATTTGAGATTGCTGTTTCACTCGTCTGCAGTGAGGGAGGGGAGGGAGGGAGGGAGCATGAGGGAGGGGTTTTGGCGAGCGGGAGCCGGGGAGGATGGGGCGAGACGGCGAGCGGGAGGGGGCGAGAGTTGGGGAGAAAGATGGGGGGAGGGAAGGAGGGAGGGGGAATGATATAGGGAGTGGGGGATGGCGGAGAGATGAGGGTGGAAAAAGGAAGAAGGCAAGAGGTTAGGAGCGAAGGAGAAGGATTAGGGGAGAGGAAGTGGGGAAGGAGGGAGGAGGAAGGAAGGAAGGAGAGGATTGGGAGCAGGAAGGGAGCGGTTTCAGGTAGGGGAGGGGAGGACTCTGGGATTTGAGTGGATGGGGAAGAATGGAGGAGGGGAGTAAAGGAGAGGAGGGAGGTGAGGGTGGAGAGGGACTAGGAGGGGATAGGAAGTCCCCGGGAAAAAGAGATGGGAGATGGAAAGTGGTCCGTAAAGGTCACATTTCGGTGCTTTTGCTTTTTGTTGTCGACCGTTACCGCTTGTACGGGATCGGCGCAGGGGTGAGGGGATGGGGGCATAAAGTATCTCTGTTGTGATGGTTGCTTTTCCTCTGGCGTCTCCCCCGTGACTGCTGTTGGCGCTCGGGGTTATCCCTGTCTTTCTCTCCTTCGTTTTCTCTCTCTCTCTCTCTCTTCTCTCTCATCTCTCTCTCTCTCTCCTCTCTCTCTCTCTCTCTCTCTCTCTCTCTCTCTCTCTCTCTCTCTCTCTCTGGCTTCTCCTTTTTGTCTATTTCTTTTTTATTTCTCTCGTTCTTTATTTCTCTCTCTTTTTCTTTTTTTCTCTTCTCTATTTCTCTTGTTTCTTTGCCCCTCTCTCTCTCTCTCTCTCTCTCTCTCTCTTCTCTCTCTCTCTCTCTCTCTCTCTCTTCTCTCTCTCTCTCTCTCTTCTCTCTCTCTCTCTCTCTCTCTCTCTCTCTTCTCTCTCTCTCTCTCTCTCTCTCTCTCCCTCTCTCTCTTCCCTTCTCTCTCTCTCTTCCCCTCCTCTCCCGCTTCTCCCCCCATCCCCATCCCTCTCCCTCCCTCCCTCCTCTCTCCTTCCTAACCCCTTCCCATCCCCTCCTCTCCCTCCCCCACCCCACCCCCCAACCCCCCAACCTTTCTCCATCACCCTCGGCTTGACTGGCGCCGATGTGGGTGAGATAGCCTAATGCAGAAACGGAGAATGACCCCGATGTTGTCAGGGAGAAGGGTGGGGGGAGGGGAGGGGAGGAAGGGGTGGTGGGAGGTGGGATGGAGGGTGGAAGGGTTGGAGGGAGGGGGTGGGTGGAGGGGGGAGGTTTGAGGGCGGGGAGGGGGAGGGTGGGGGAGGTGGGCGGGTTTGAGGGTGGTGGAAGGGTGGAGGGGAGGATGGAGGGTGGTGGGGGGAAAGGGTTTGGAGGAGGAGGAAAGAGGTGGTGGTGGTTTGGGGGTGGGAGAAGGAAATGAATGATAGTGGGAGGAGAGGAGAAGAGAAGAGAAGAAGAAGAAGAAGAAGAAGAAGAAGAAGAGAAGAAAAGAAGAAGAAGAAGAAGAAGAAAGAAGAAGAAGCAGCAGAGAAAGAAAAGTACAACCTACAGAATCAAAATTAAAGAATGAGAAAAAAAAATCGAAAAAGAGAAAAAAACGAAAGAAAGAAAGAAAAAAAACGAAAGAACGAGACAAGAACGAAAGTGAAAGTACTCTAAGTATTAACACGTGACATGCCATTGGGAAAGAGAAAGAGGAAAAAAAAGGAGACAGAGAGACACAGTTTTAATTAGTTAATTAATTCACAGAATTAAGAAAACGGGGGGGGGGACCAGAGGGACGACTTTGTGGTGAAAGAGGAACAAGTGAACAGGATTTGGGAATCGTTTCTCTTCGCCGTTTGTTTGTTTGTGTTTGTTTGTTTGTTTGTGTATTTGGTTGTGTGTGTGTTTGTTTGTTTGTTTGGTGGTTGTTGGTGTTTGTTTGTCTATCCGTTTGTCTGTGTGTGTCTGTGTCTGTGTCTGTGTTTGTTGTTTGTTTGTTTATCTGTTTCTCTGTGTCTGTTTGTTTGTATGTGTCTGGTTGTTTGTTTGTGTCTGTCTGTTTGTTTATTTTCCTGAATCATTTAGGAGTTGACGGTGTATTAGCTCTGATTTTTTTTTTTTAATGAGGAAGAGTGATAGTTATAGTTGCTATTTAATTGTGGTAATGATGGTAATGATGATAATGATGATAAAGATGGGAAATGGGAATAGTAATGAACTGTTGATAATAATGATAATGATAATGACAATAATGATATTACTTCTACTAGTGATGATAATAATAATAATTATTATTAATTAATTATTATTATTATTATTATTATTACCATTATTATAATTTTATGGTTATTATTATTATTTTTAGTATTAGATAATGATGATGGCGATTTAGATATCTAAGGAACTCGCCTTGTAACTGATTGAATATTTGAAGTAGCACTGGTGAAAGGTCCGACATTGGTAGTGAGAACGGCCGTGGTTGTACATGCATAGTTGTACCTGTACCTGTTCCTGAGTCACCAGGCAGGGCAGAATGGGACAAGTTACCAGCTGTTGGCACGCAGATGACACGACAGAGAGGGGAGAGGGGGCGGGGGTGGGAGGGGGGGGGAAAGGGGTGAAAGGTTGTGAGGTACGGGTATGGTCTAGGGAGGTAAGGGGGGAGAGGGAGGGGATGGGGGGGGTAAGGGGTAGGGGTAAGGGAGGGGGAGAGGAGGGGAAGGGAGGGAAGGGGGGAAGTAGGGGAGAGTGGAAAGGGGTGAGGAGGAGGGTAGGGGAGGGGGGAGAGGGTAAAGAGGTGAGAGGGAGGTAGGGGATAGAGGGGAAAGGGGGAGAAGAAGGGTAGGGGTGAAAGAGTGAGAGAGGGGTCAGGAAAGTAGGAGGAGGGAAGAGGGGAGTGAGAGGGGTAGGGGGGTGGCAGGGGTAAAAGGATGTAGTGGGGCAGAGGCCCAGATGTGGATGAGAAGGGAAGGGACAGACCTAAATGCAGATGGGTGGAGAGAGAGAGAGGAAGAAAAGTGGAGAGATTAAGGGGAAAGGAAGGGGATGGGAGCGGATACAGAGAGATATAATAAGAAATAGAGGGAAGGGGAATAGAAGGGAAAAAACCGACGCAAGAGGAGCAGAAGAAAGGTAGAATAAGGAGGGAGAAGAGGGAAAAAAAGGGGAAGAGAGAAGGGGAGAAAGAGGATTCACCTTTGATGTCAGAGAACCGAGGAGACTTTAACACTTCCGAGTCACATGACTTCGCTCTCTGTCTCTGCTCTCTCTCTCTCTCTCTCTCTCTCTCTCTCTCTCTCTCTCTCTCTCTCTCTCTCTCTCTCTCTCTCTCTCTCTCTCTCTCTCTCTCTCTCTCTCTCTCTCTCTCTCTCTCTCTCTCTCTCTCTCTCTCTCCCTCTTCTCCCTCTCCCTTCCCTCCCTCCTCCCTCTCCCTCTCCCTCTCCCTTCCCTCTCCCCCCTCTCCCTCTCCTTTCCTTCCTCCTTTCCCTCCCTTTCCTCCTCCTCCCTCTCCCTCTCCCTCCCTCCCTCCCTCCCTCTCCCTCCCTCTCCCTCCTCCTCCCTCCTCCTCCCTCTCCCCCTTCCTCTCCTCTCCCTCCTCCCCAGCGTTATCCCGGAATACGTCTCGAACATCCTTGCTATTTATGCCGCGCTGTTGTCGGGTTCAAGCGGCCGGGTGTCCGTGTGGGAGCGAGGATGGGACAATTTTATCCGGATAAATAAATGGTTGTGTGGGCGGCCTGTGCGGTGTTCGAGGCCGCCCACGTCTTGTGATTGACTGTGTGGGCGGCCTGTGCGGTGTTCGAGGCCGCCCACGTCTCTTGATTTTACGCTGGGGAGGGGGGGTGGTATTAGAGGTACCAGGAGATAGGGGAGTACTGCAGGGATGAGTATTAGGGGTACCATTTGGGATGCCATTGAGAGGTAATATAACTATATCGACCGGGAGGAGAGGTATCAGGGCTACCACAGCGGCTGGTATTAGGGAGACTGCCACAGGGGATACCACTGGAGCTACCACAAGGACTGCAATTTTGTCTACCATTGGAGCTACCACTTGGGGATTGCTACAAGGCTACACTGGGGCAATTTTGTCTACCACTGGGGCTACACTGAAGGCCTACTTGTACACAATTTTGTCTACCATTGGAGCTACCACTTGGGAAACTGCTACAAGGCCTACCACTGGGGCTACCACAAGGGCTACAATTTTGCCTACCACTTTGGGGATTACTACAAGGCCTGCCACTGGGGTTATCACTAGGGGGACTACAACAAGGCATACCACTGGAGCTCTCACTAAGGGGACTCCTACAAGAGCTACTACAAGGGCTACAATCTTATCTACCACTGGGGCTACCACTAAGACTACCACAAGGCCTACCACTGGGGCTACCACAAAGGATACAATCTCCTCTACCACTGGGGCTACCACTGAGGGGATTCCTACAAAGCCTACCACTGGAACTACCACAAGGGCTACAATCTTATCTACCACTGGGGCTACCACTAAGACTACCCACAAGGCCTACCACTGGGGCTACCACAAAGGATTACAATTTTTTCTACCACTGGGGCTACCACTGAGGGGATTCCTACAAAAGCCCACTGGAACTACCACAAGGGCTACAATTTTATCTACCACTGGAGCTACCACAAAGGGGACTACCACAAGGCCTACTACTGGGGCTACCACTAGGACTACCACATGGGCCACCCCCTAGACATGTGGACCCGCTAAGCCAGGTTGCAGCTGACTTCGGGATTAGTGATGAGGGAGAGGGATTGGGGGGCGGGGGTGGGGGTGAGGGGTGGGGGGGGGATTTGGTACTTCGTTTGAGGTTTAGGGAAGAGGAAGGAAAGAGGAGAGGAGGAAGAAGAGGAAGAAGGAGGAAGAAGAGGAAGAGGAGGAAGAAGAGGAAGAGGAAAGAAGGAAGAGGAGGAAGAGGAAGAGGGTTGGTGAGATCTCAGATTTTCAGTTAATTTGATTAGTTGGTTTGGTTGGGCGGTTGGTTGGGGAAGTTTTCAGTTAAGAGGAAGTTTACAGGAAAAGGGAAGTTTAAAGTAGAAATGAAACTTTCGGCAAAGAGGGAAGTTTTTCAGCAAGGAAGAAGTTTACTGTAATTAGGAAGTTTTCAGCCAAGTGAAAGTTTACTATGAAAAGGAAGTTTTCAGTGAAAGAGAATCTTCAGCGAAGAGGAAGTTTTAAGTTGACGGGAAGTTTTCAGCGAAGAGAAAGATTGTAAAAATGAAGTTTTCAGCAAAGAAAGTTTTCTGTAAAAAGAGAAGTTTCAACTAAGAGGAAATTTCAGTAAAGAAGTTTTCAGCAAAGAGGAAGTTCACTGTAAAAAGGAAATTTTCAGCAAAGAGGAAGTTTTCAGCAAAGAGGAAGTTTTCAGCGGAGACAATTCACTGTAAAAAGGAAGTTTTCAGTAAAAAGAGAATTTTCAGCTAAGATGAAGTTTTCAGTAAAAAAGGGAATTTTCAGCTAAGAGGAAACTTCAGTAAAGAGGAAATTTTCACCAAAGAGGAAAGGAATCATGCGAGTTAATCTGCTTACTAATTTTAGAAGTGTTTGGCGCTCATGTGATGTACATAGACGCAGAATACTTGGTGCAAATACATAAGAGGTACTTAGAGAAGGAGAGGAAGAGAGGAAGAAGAAGAAGAAAAGAGGATAAGAGAGATAGAAGAGACATAGAGACGATTAGGAGAAAGAAAGGAAAAATGGGAAGGAAAGATAAAGAATAGAAAAATAGGAGGAAGAGAAAGAGAAAGAAGAAGATAAAGAGACAGGATGATAAAAAGATAGAAGAGACATAGAGACGATTAGAAGAAAGAAAGGAAAAATAGAGAAAAAGCGACAAAGAAGAAGAAGAAAGAAGAAAAGAACAAAAAAGCGAGGAAGAAAAAGAAGAAGAGGAATAAAGAACAAAAAAAAAAAAAAAAACGAATAAATAAGGCAAAGATTAGATGGAAGAGAATGAGAAGAGAAGGGCGAAGAGGAGTTCCGACGAAGGGGCGTGGCGTTATGGGCGTCGGGGTTGTCGCGGTGGGTCGTGCGAGAAGCGTTGACCTCCGACTGGGTCCCGCTGGATTCGGTCCTCGGCCAGCGGCGGTGGGGGGGGGGGGGGACCTGGTCATGCTCTGGGGCACATGTGGGTCATGCCCCTACTCCTCCCCCTCCCCCTCCCTCCTCCCTCCTCCTTACGCCGCGTCTCCTCTTTCTCCGTCTTCATCCTCTCTTTTTCTCCCTCCTCCCTTCCTCCTCCCTCCCTTCTTCCTTCTCCTCTTCCCTTCTCCTCCTTCTCCTCGCCTCCTCTTACGCCGCCGTCTCCTCTTTCTCCCGTCCTCCATCCTCTCTTTTTCTCCCTTCTTCCTTCTCCTTCCTCCTCCTCTTCTCTTCCTCCCTCCCTCTTCCCTTCTCCTCCTCTTCCCTCTCCTCCCTCCCTCCTCCTCCTTTCCTCCTCCTCACGCCGCCCTCATGCTCTTACATAGTACTACTACTTCTGATCTTCCTCCTCCTCCATCTCTTCCCTTCTTCCATCTCCTCCTCCTCCCTCCTTCTCCCTTCCTCTTCCTCCCCCTCTCCTCCCTTCCCCTTTCGTCCCCGGAAAACGCATTTGCTGGAAAATTATCCTCCCCTCTCTTCCTTCCTTTCCTTTCACGGGTCTCTCTCTCTCTCTCTCCTCTCTCTCTGTCTCGGTCTGCTCTCTCTCTCTTCTCGTCTCTCTCTCTCTCTCTCTCTCTCTCTCTCTCTCTCATCTCTCTCTCTCTCTCCTTCTCTCTCTCTCCTCACCTCCCTCTCACTCCTCCTCTCTCTCCCTCCCTCCCTCTCCCTCCCTCCCCTCCCTCCCTCCCCTCCTCCCTTGCTTCCTCCTTTCTTCCCTCCCCTCTTCCTCTCTCCTCTCTTTCTTACTCTCCTCTCCTCTCCCCTTTTCCCTCTTTCTGCCCTTACTAATTTTTTTTCCCCCACCATCCAACTCTTAACATTCCTCGCCTTTCTGCATTCCCTTCCGACGAAAGCGCGAAGCCGAAGTTCCGGGTCGGGGAAACGGACGAGGGCGCGCTCTGTTCGGGTCCCTTTTCCTGTGTTCGTTCGGGTCTCGGCTCTTGCCAGATCCATGTCAGACGCGGGCACCGACGTGTCACTGGAGCTTCGTCAGCAGTGACAGATGCCAAGAGGAGGAGGAGGCACTTTGGATGGGGGGGGGGGGGAGGAGTGGGAGGAGGAGAAGAGGAGGAGGAAGAGGGGGTAGGGGGAGGAGGAGGAGGGGAGGAGATAGGGTAGGGTGGGGAGAGGAGCAGGAGGTGGGGAAAGGAGAGATAGGGTAGGTGAGAGGAAGAGGGGTTGGGGAAAGGAGGAGGAGGAGGAAGAGGGGGTGGGAGGAGGAGGGTAGGGTGGGGAAGGAGAGGAGAAGAGGTAGGGAGAGGAGTAGGAGGAGGAGAAGAGGGAGTGGGAGGAGAGGAAGGGGGAGGGGGCACACTCAGTAACTTGTCAGTGGCTATAAGCAACTGTTGTCTCTTGTTTTTTGTCTCTTTTTTTTTATCCTTTCGCGTTTTCCCTCTTTCTTTCCTTATTTATTTATCGGATGAGAGGTTGGAGAAGGATGGGGGAGAGAGAGAGGGAGAAAATAAAAGCCCTCAGTGATTTTTTAATCGAGTTAGCGCGAGGAAGCCGAACTTGTGACTACCTGAGGAATTCTCGTGGCGAGACGTGATCCGGATCGGACTTCGGGTTAGAGGGGGGAGGGGGTGGAGGGGGAGGGGGTGGAGGGGGAGGAGGAGGGGGTGGAGGGGGTAGCCAGAGGGCGAGATGTGCCGAAAAAAGGCGGCGGTAGTTAAGGGGTTGGGGGGGTTGGGGGGGAGGGAGTGGGAAGAGAGACGGAGGGCGGGCTGGGTAGGGGGTGGGGAAGAGGGGGATGGGCTGGGGAGGAGGGGGGGCGGGGAGGGGGTGGAGAGAGGGGGGCTGGTAGGGGAGGGTGGGAAGAGGGAGCGAGGGGAGAGAAGGGGTTGGAACGGGGGGAGGGGGTGGGAAGAGAGAGAGCGGAGGAATGGGTGGAAAGAGAGGAGGGTTGGCGGGTGGGGTGGGAAGATGGTAGCGGGGAGGGAAAGGGTTGGGAGTTAGGGAGGGGGAGACGGGGAAGAGAGTGGGGAGATAGAGCTTGGGGAAGGAAATATTGGGGATAGGGGGGGGAGGGAGAAGGATTGGGGTGGGGGAGAGGGTAGGGAGAGGGAAGGCGATAACGAAAGGGGTAGGAATGGGGAGGAGGGGGGAGGAGAGGAGGAATGGAGATGGAGGGCGCAGATGGGTAGGGGGGTAGGATGAAGATGGGTAGGAGAGGGGAGGGGGGTGGAAGGGAGACCGGAGAGGGGGGGGGGGGGGACGACCGCTGGGGAGGCTGCTGCGAGTGCTGATCAGGCACTGCACTGTCACACACTTTCACCAAAGAGTCCGTGTGTAGTGTGATTTACTTATATTGGATGAACGTCGATTCCATCTATCTCTTTTCTTTTTCCTCTTTCTCTCTCTCTCTTTCTCTTTCTCTTTCTCCTTTCTTTCTCTTTCTCTTTTCTCCCTCCTCTCTCTCTCCCCTCCCTCCTCCCCTCCCGCATTCCCTCTCCCTCCCTCACTAACTCCCCCCTTCCCTCCCCTCTTCCCTCCCTCTCTCTCTTTCCATTTCCCCTCTCCTCTCATCTCCTCTCTCAATTCTCTCTCTCTCTCTCTCTCTTCTCTCTCTTCTCTCTCTCTCTCTCTCTCTCTCTCTCTCTCTCTCTCTCTCTCTCTCTCTCTCTCTCTCTCTTCTCTCTCTCTCTCCTCTCTCCGAACAGATGATGGACAAACTAGAGGAAATTGAATCGCATTCTGAACGGCCGACTCATGGAGAGATGATTGTTGAAGAGTAATAAGCGAAGAGGAGGAGAGGAAGAGGAGGAGGAGGAGGAGGAGGAGGAGGAGGAGGAGGAGGAGGAGGAAAGGCGAGAAGATTGGGTGATGCTGGAGGAGTGAGGGAGGAAGGAGAAGGAGGGGGATTAGGAGGAGTAGGAAAAGAAAAAAAGAGATGAGGAGTGAGGGAAGAGGGGGAGAAGAGGGAGGAGGAGGAAAAGAGAAAATGAAGATGAAGAGCGAGGGAGGAAGGGGAGAAGAAGGAAGAGGAGAAGAGGAGTGAGGGAGGAGGCACTTGGTGGTACTATTGATAGTAGCATGATAAGGCAAAAGAAAAAAGGAGAGAGAGAGAGAGAGAGAGAGAGAGAGAGAGAGAGAGAGAGAGAGAGAGAGAGGAGAGAGGAAGAGAGAGAGAGAGAGAGAGGAGGGGGAGGGGGAGGGAGGGAGGGAGGGAGGAAGATGTTATTGATGCGGTTCATGTTATTAGCAACACTATATATGCGTATATAGAAGAGAAGACCGAGATAGGAAAGACAGATAGATAAACATAGATAAATGATATAGACGTAGGGTATGGATGTAAATGTATATATAGATATACGTATAGAGAGAGAGACCGAGTTAGGAAGATAGACAGATATAGATAGATGATATAGACGTAGGTATGGATGTAAATGTATATATATATATAACGTTACATTATATGACATTGACTAGTAAATAGGTAATATAGACATAGGTAAGGATGTAGATGTATATATATAACGTGACAACTAGTAGATACGTAATATAGACATAGGTAAGGATGTAGATGATATATATAACGTTACATAAGCG